CTGGCAGTCTGGGTTTCCCCAAGGCTAATTAATAAATCACTTGTTAGACAATTGGACCTGTCCTCCTACTGTTTCTCTTTTACTGTTCATGCCGCTAGGGAAAGAAGGCAGACACAGAGAACACACCCTGTAGGATTCCGTTTACGTGATGCTGAAGAAGAGGAAACGTTACGTGTGCTATAAGGAGTCGGGAGGGGTTAGCCTTGGGTCACAGGGAGGCTCCTGGGGTACCCCTCTGTTCTTTTCGGTCTCAATCTGGGAGTTGAGGCTGTGAAATGGTACAGTCACTTCAGAAAACAAATCGTTCCTGAAAGTGTTCAACTTGCAGTTATGACAAGACCCAACAATTCTACCCAACGATATATGTAAATATTTATAGCAGTATTATCCATAATAGCAAAAATCTGGAAAATAAAGGGTTCATCCCTTGGTAAGCGGATAGAGAAAATCTAGTTTCTCTATATACTGGAATGCTATTCAGCAGTAAAAAGGAATGAAGTACTAATACATGCTACAGCATGGATAAACACGCCGAGTGAAGGAAGCCAGACAAAAGACTACGTACCGTGAGACTGCATTCACGCCCCACTTCTAGAAAAGGCACATCTATGGGCATGGAAAACAAAGCACCGGGGTCCGAGGATTGCAGACGTGTACGAGAACACGTTTTGTGAGTGATGGAAATATTCTAAAAGTGGTTTGGGATGATGCTTGCCCAACTTCATAAATTTACTAAAAAGCATGGAATTACCATGTATTGTGGGTAAACTTTACGGTATGCAAATTGCACCTCAGTCGAACAGCTCAACAAAATATTAAGTCTTTCCATTTTCAAATGTTCTCAACTAATCCAAATTCTTAGTGGGCTTACGTGGAAAAAAAAAACCCAAGTGTGCAGTGCGAGCCCTTGGAGTGCCGGCTTGCAGACTCGGCACTAAGTGGCATCCGTAGAAATTTGAATAAAATAAAAGCCTTGTCCTCCAGGAGTTTAGGATGCAAAGGGTGAAAATGGAACAGTAAACAGTTACAAAACCCCATGATATTTTATGTCCATCACACCTCAATTAAAAAACAAAACGAGCACGGGCTGGGAACCAAAGTGTCCCAGGTTCGATTCCCAGCCAGGGTACATTCCTGGGTTGCAGGCCATAACCCCCAGCAACCGCACATTGATGTTTCTCTCTCTATCTCTCTCTCCCCCCCCTCTCTCCCCCCTCCCTCCCTCCCTTCCCTCTCTAAAAAATAAATAAATAAAATCTTAAAAAAAAACAAACAAAAAAACGAAATACCTCATGATGAACACGAATGGTTATGTACAGGGAGGTTTGGGTCCAGGGCACTCCTGGCTCTGATGGGCTGGAGTGGGGAGCAGCACAGAGGAGGGGATGGACGCTGAAGCTGGAGCTGGACACTTGGAAGGGTGAGCAGAAATTTAGGAAGTTGCAAATGTAGAGAGTGGAGAAAAGGATGGGTGACAGTTCCGGGCACAGGGAACAGAATGGGCAAAGGCTCACAGGTGTGGAAAAGCAAGTGAACTGGGAGCTGGGAGGGCTGGAGACCTGGTGCGGGGGCGGGGGGTGGGGGGGTGAGGGAAACAGACAAAGAAGAAAGGCAGGCAGGGACCAGGTGGTCAAGGGCGTGGCAGCTTGTGTTAGAGTCTTTGGACAAAGGGTTAGGCAGGATTTATTGGTTGGAGGAACACGGGCATGCTTCTTTTGGCCCAAATTAAACTTTGTATATCTTGGCAATTTCCTATGGGACTCATTTGAAAAGTATTCACTAATAGACGGCTTATCTAATCATCAGGTGCCGTTCTAATCATCTCTGCAGACTCACTTAATCCTATCCACAGTGCTTCTCAAACTCTAACATGCTTCTGAAGCATGTGGAAGATGACTTCCAACAGAGATTCTGATTTAGTAGGTCTGCAGCGGAGCCCAAGAATTTATTTTTCAGTCTAGTTCCCAAAAGCTGATGCAGCTGGCCCAGGGCGCACACTTTGGGAACCACTGCTTTACGTCAACCTTATAAGAAAGGGATTATTATCACCACCACCACCCCCATTTTACAGAGGAAGAAACAGCCAGGTAGGCCACCTGCCCAGGGCCACGGAGCAATCATTGATGGAGCTGGGATTTAATGGGCAGGGAGTGTCTGCCATGCCTCCTAGTTCACAGGTTGCAAACAAGCAGTTAATGGCTGGCATTTTCAATCCTTGTTTGCAACTATCAAAAATATATCACACACACACACACATACACACACGGGCCTTAACTGACATCTGAGATAGAAGAATTCGAGATGCTAACCCATACTAAGAGGGTGGGGGAGGGAAGTCTTTGACGAATTCTTTAGTCCACTCCAATGAAGCAGTGTTTGGGTCCTATTGCGATGAAGTCAGGATTTAGAAATGCCAAGTATCAACGTAAAAAAGAAAAGAGACTAAATACGTACAAGGAAATCATCACACGAAAACAGCAACAGCTCCAAGCTGAAGTGCAGGTGAATGCTCAGTGTCTGTTGTTTTAAATGTATTTAAAACTTTAACCATATTATGAAAACTGACAATAACTAGAGAAGACAACCTTGCTGCTTTTGGAGGGTCCCAAGATAAAAGTGGGAATTCTGTCATGAATCTGCTTGCTTTTCGCATCTTGATCTCCTTTGTAGCATCTCCCTGGTTTCCCTCCAATAAACAACTTCTTCCTTCAATTGGCGGCATTATGTTATTTTTGAGATCTGAATCACGGAGGCTGTAACGCAGGCCTGCTTGCCCCATCTTGTTTTGCAGAGTGCTGTATATCTAATTAAAGCTTCCAACCAGTCCATAAAAAGACCTAACATTTAAAAAAGCAGTTTGTGTTGGAGACGGCCCCGGGGCCCACCGGAGAAGAGGTTTCTTCATTAACAATAAACACATTTGCTGAAATTCAAAATTAAGGAATAATACGTTAATTTGCACGGGAATATTTTTAAATGTTGCCTAAGCATAATCGGATCGTGTTACCGCATTTATGGCGCGGAACCGAAAATGGGTCATGTTCTCGCCCGCAGCACTCCAGCTTCCCCAGAAACACTGGGGATGAATAAATGATTTACCATGCGGAAGAGTTGGAGCTGACTTTATTTAAATCAACGTACTATTCTGTTCCTTTTCATTTATTGCTGTGCTATTCTCATGCCCTTGTTTTCCTAACAGAATGTATTCAAAACCAGAGTTACATGGCAGCAATATAAATACTCCTATCCGCCTTCCAAGGGCTTATCTCGGATGGCCATTGTTTTGTGGTTACTGTTATAGCTCAGGGCTATGGACCTGGCGGTGGAGGCCCTCAACCACCTGCATTCCCTTGGGAGACCATTAGAATGGTCTTTTCCCCCCTTACGTGACTACAGGCTTCCCTGAATGGTGACCTCTCCCAGAGAGGACAAGCCCAAGGCCTCCCAGGCTTCCAGCAACAAATCAAGTTAGCGTTTTAGTTAGTGCTGGTGCTTAACATGCTTCTGGAGTTAGAATGTCAATGACAAAGTGAGGCTATTTTTCTGTAGTCTTTCTAAGTCACAGTGTTCCCAGAGTTGGGGTCTTGACTCAACCCTGAGGGGCAGAGACCCTGCCTGAGGCTTTCCCCAGCCCAAATGACCCATCAACCTACGCCAGGGCATTAGGGTAACTGGGAGTCCCCCTTTAATAGAAAACCTTAGGACATTACCCTGAAGATTTCGCACCTCTCAACAATCCACTTTTGCTTCCCAATGGTCTTCAGTCATGCAAAGTTGATGTTGTGGAGAGTCTACAGAGAAAAAAGCCTCTGCCATTTGCCAACAGAGACATTTGCTAAAGCCATCTAGAGTCGGCTTCTCCATCTAATTTAAGCAAACTTGGAGAATCTAAGCAGCTTTTTCTTTTGGCTCGGGTCCTTTGCGAGGGGGTCCTTTCGTAGGGGAGGGCTTGGGAAGAGGGGAGAAACAGGGAAAAGCAGGTTGGTGGGCACGGGCATCAGGCAATTTGGCTCCCTTCCAGGAAGGGCACTCCACTGAGCACCAAACTTCCACTTCCGAGGTGGGAGGCCGGAACCCCGGGCCCATGTCTCTGGCCAGCGCTAAGCTCCATTCTGGAGCTGAACTGTCAGCGCCACGGTTAATGCCTGGCATGTTCACGTCCCTGAGTTCATATGCTCTAATACTTTCCATGACCTTTTGCCTTTCAACACTTTCCTGAAGAGGCAGCCTGGCCTGGCCGGTGTCTCCCCGCTGGCCTTTAAAGCCAGTGCTGCATTCAGATGCTGAGCTCTTCTCTCTTTTTGTTGACCGTGTTTTGCCATGCATCATATGCTCCCGTGTATAATACCTACCCGTGTTTCAGTACTGACTCCCACGAATAATTTGCTTTATCCATGGGAATGAGCACTACTTATGTATAATGCGCATCCTTATGTTCCCCTAAAAAATTTGGGCCACAAGTGCGCATTATACACGGCAAAATACGGTAAATAGCAACAAAATCACAATTCCTTCAAAGTAGATTCCCAGGGGGAAGAAGCCGTAAAGGGGGAAAGAAAACCCATGTGTATGTATACATATATATGAATGTATGTATACATATATATGAATGTATGTTTTTCTCTCCTCATTTAAAACTGGATGAGAGATGGGGTGAACCTTTAAAAGGGTCAAGTGCGTGTAGCCCTCAACCACCCCCGGCCTGGGACGCAGAGTCTGGTGCGGGCTTAGTCCTCTCCGATTTCCCTCGACAGCTCGCGCTACTTTTCTCGGCCATTGTCCTGCGTCCCTGGTGCTTCCTCCTTCACCGACCCCTCTCCTCCTCCGACTCCCCGCCCGCCTCCTACCGCCAGCCGCAGCCCAGACTCGCCGTAGTCCGGACGCTAGCATGATGCCCTCTAACAGCCCGCGCGCCAAGGCCCGCAGGTGCGCCCCGCCCCTCCCGTGACCCCGCCCCATCGCTTACGTCACAGTGACGGAAGGCCCGCGCAGGCGCAGCTCAGCCCCACCCCTCCCCGCCGCCGGCCGCCCGCCCGCTTGGTATTATGATTAGCTCTGGGTGCGGGGAATCGGCGGCCGGGAGGGAGTCGTCGGAGCCGCGGCCGCTGCAGACGGTCGCCCGCCTGCGGGCTGAGGTAAGGGGAGCGCGGATCGCTGCCGGGCACGGTGGCCCTGGGCGGGAGTGCGGGGCAGGCCTCCGCCGCTGCTGCCTCTGCCGTTGCGGGGTTGGGAGCCCGGGCCGGGCTCCCGCCGCAGGCGGAAAGTAAGTTGCGCGCTCCGCGCTCCCTGCGCCGGCGGCAGCGCGGGCCCAGGCGAATGCGGGGCCCGGGCTGCGGCGTCCCTGACCCGGTGCTGCGGCGACGCGGCCTGGCAGCGAGGCGGCGGCGGGGCCCGGGCGGGAGCCGTCACTGCGGCGACCGGTCGCGGGCGCCCGGAGGCCCTGCCCTTGCGGCCGCGGCGGGATTGCGGCACCTCGGGAGGCGCCCGCATCCCCTCCCCGCCCCGGAGCGGGCCGAGTGCGGCGCCCGCCGGGCCCCGCGCCTCAGCCGGGCTCCCCGCGCCCAGGTTCTCTCGTGCAGTGTGTGTTCTTCTCCGAATGTGTTTTCCTTTTTCAAACGAATCTAGAAATCTGGCCGCAGCAAGGGGGTTCCTCGGTAAAACTGCAGCCTTACAATAGAATGGGGATATTGTTGTCGGTAGAGAAAGGGCATCGGGTAAGGAAGGAGGAGCAGTGCCGTTCCCGTTCCCGAGGGAGAGCTAGAATTTTTCTCGTTGGGAAACCTCCGTTCTTTTCCGTAGTCATCGCCTGTTGATTTCTTTCTGGACCATTTTACAAAAACCTACTGCCTTTCACTTGGACTTGGGATCCAGGAAAGTGGCAGCCTTTTATCCTGGGGGGTTCGTGGAGCTGTGCTGGTCCTGACAGTTGGGTCAGGTATAACCCAATAGCTTCATAGGGAGTTCGGTTCCGGTATTGGGGGGTGGGGGGTGCGGAATTTATGAGCAGGGTCCTTAAATCTATAGTTGTCTGTGGATATAGGACCTGTCAAACTGTCAAGTTACTTTTTTCCCCCCACTCCATTGAATTGAGTGCATTCTCAAAGTCTTAGGGGCTAACGTTAAAGCTGACTTAATGCCTGGCTCGTTTTATGGTGAAAGGTGAAGCATGGCTTTCAAGTGATGGAACCGCGAAGGCTGGACATCCCGTTGAATTTCCACCCAGCCCCTATCAAACATCAGATTCCTCAGTGTGGGTGCAGGTTGGGAACTAGTCCCTGACCCATCTAATGTATCAGAATGCATATCAGTGTACTTTAAAGCCCGGGCTTGTCAACGCTTATGTAATCACTTCGTTAATTTATAATCTTGTTACATTGCTTTCCAGATTGATAAAACCATTCCCTTCAGGAAATCTGTCTTCAACGTCTGCTTAAATATTTCTCTTGGAATTGGATTCCTGAAGAGGAATGTACTGTACAAGTGGAGATTAAAGCATACTAATTAGACCAGTGCCTTTTTTTTTAAAAAAAAGTATTGATTCTTTTAGCTGACTCTCGAATTTTCCCTGTTAGGAAAGCAGATGACATTCCCATTTTGCAGAACTTGATGTGAGAGAAGTTGCGTGACATTCCCAAGGTCATGTATCGAAGCAGTGTAGTACCTGAAAATCAAGTGCACGCCTGGTGTTAACTTTCCTTAATGCTCCACCTTCAGGGTTTCTGGTCAGGGACTTTGAGTGGCCCCTTTCAATTTTTTATAATGCACAAAAATTACTCTCACTTTATTAATGTTACTATTTTGAGTGAATTTTTATTGCAGGAAGACCCATTCCTTTAAAACACACAAGAACTCAGGAGTTCTACAAATCTGCATTTTTTTAGAACAGCCATAGAGATGAGCCCGTATGGTTCAGGTTTAATCCGGTGATCCGAAAAGGAAGGCTTTGAACTGTCCTTATTAAAGTTGAAGGGTTTCATATTTTTACTGGGTGCAGGAAATACGATTTGTTTAAAGTTTACTGTGGTTGTTTCATATGAAAGTGAAACTAAGTAGAAAAAAAAAAGGTGTTTATTTTTGGAGATATCCAGCAGCCCTGGTTCTCAGCTTTGGTATAAATAAGGCCATGATTTCCTTGCTGTAGCCACTTGTCAGAGCCTGGGAGCTCCTTGCACTGCCCAGTAAGAAAAGGGGACAAGTGAACTTTCCACAAGGCCGGGGGTTTAGGAATTACAAACATAGGTAAGGAGCTCTACAGACTTGATTTAACTGTATGCCGGCTGTTTGCTTAGCAACTGAAAGAGAGTTTTCGCCAACGTGCTTTCACAGGAAAACTATTATCGAGGATTTAGGTACTTTCCAGCCTGTGTATATGTGCAGGTAAATCCTTCAGAGCAACTTAGGTGGAAACGTTGACTGGATTCTAGCAGTTTTGAATGCAGACTTAATCTGTGATCATTTATTTATGGAGCCTTTTTGTGTCTATTTTTGGGGCCCCGGGCTAGAGCGCAGCAATAGAAAGGAGCTTACAGGCTATTGGGGACTCCAAGGTAAACAGTAGCAGTGGGGTGTGGTGAATGCTTTGGTGGGGCCCAGGCAAATGCCCCTGGAAGCACAGAGGTGGGGACACGGCATCTGACTTAGGAAAGCTTCACAGAGGCAGGGACCACTGAACTCTGGGAGGACAGGAAGAGTCCCCAAGCAGAGAAAAGGGGAGAGGGCTCCGAGTTCAGGGAGGCTGAGAAGGTAGGGCCAAGTGGAGGAGGAAGGACAGACGCGGCTCCAAGTGGGTGAAAGGGAGTTGGGGAGGTAGACACAGTGCAGCTGTTCTTTTTTTAAGGAATCTGGAGAGCAGGGGGGAGGAGCGGGGCAGCAGCGCTGGGGATGGAGGGCAAATGCCCTGGCACTTTGTTTCCGTTTGGGAAGAGCTGGTGTAAAGCGCCTCGGCCCCGTGCCACGCGAGGGAACACAGGAGGCGTGTGCCGGAGCGGCGTTGTCGGCGGCACCACGGGTCGTTTCCTCCTCTGCTTTCCTGTCCATCTGTTCGGGGTCGAGACCCCCTGTCCCCGGGGGAGACCACTGCCTGCTGGTGGTACGGGAGGAACCCGCCTAAAGAGGATTTCTGCTCCACCTTCCCTGAACATTTATTTCTCTGCTGTCACTTCCAGCGCCTCCTGAGAGTCCGCTTTGGCACCTCCGGCGTTTGGCCCCTGCTCAGGTGGGCTCTTCCGCGACAGATCAGGCGTCTTTCCCTCTCCTCAGCCTGGTCGTGCCGCGCCCCCAGACGGCCGTGCCGTGGCTGCTCAGTAGTTGTTTCAGAGTCGGAGGGCATTATCTGCCCACATGCTGTGATGTTTTAGTTCTGGAGCGTCTGCAGCCTCAGGCAAGGTTGGGTCTGTCTGTCTTTCTAAACGCGGACACCCTCAGCTACACGTCGGCCCAGCCATGTAACTCGGGTTATGAGACCAGAGCCCCAGAAGGGTGGGTCACAGGACACGCAGCGGGTCGGGTCGCAGCCTCAGCGGGCCTCCGTTCCTCCGCGGTGCACGCGAGTTGGTCTTCCCCAAACCCTGGAGGGTGCCGGCCCCAAGAAGGCAGAGCCCATGCCGTGATCTCCGTGTCCCCAGACCAGAGTCCCGCCTGCAGTGTCGCCCCGCCACACGAGAAGTGTCTCAATGAAGAAACTTCAGAAACCCGAGCTTTAGTCTGTGGATTCTGGTCAGCCTTGTTCAGAGAAGCTACCCCCGTTTTGACCCAGCAGGGCCGCATCTAAGTTGTGCTGCCAGCCTAGAACTTCGGGACTGGAAGCAGGTTGTCTGCCCGATGCGAACGCGGGGTAGGTGCTCGGGAAGTGTTTGTTCCCGTCCTGGTTCCAGCCAGAGGGAGGGGGTGGCACCACCTGCCCGCTGTCTCCGCAGGTCAGTCTAAATTCCCATCTACTTTGCCCCCTGTGCGTGGAGTTTGGGATTTTACTTCCTAAACGTGTCTCCACCATGACCTCCCTCTCCTCATCTCTGCCCGGAAACTAGTGGCCCTCGTTTTTAAGTGTTTAAGGCTTCCTTTACCTGGGGGTGTTTTCCGTCGTCTCCTTGCCTGTCTTCTGGCTCTGGAGCGGCCTTTCTGTCCGCTCTGCACCTCGCTGCCGGAGTGCTGTGCTGAGCCCTCCTCTCTGATTGCTGGCCCGGCTCAGGGCTCTCCTTTCGCGTCTCAGCGCCAGCTATCATTTGTCCGTGTAACCAAATGTGTCTGTGTACGGCAGGCTCTGGGATACAGGGCCAAATGGAACAGACGTGGGCCGTCCGTGGACTGGACTTACCATTTCTTCTCGTGGAGGACACACGGCACTAATCACGTCGTCACCAGCTGTGTAGCCACAGTGGTGACAAGGGCTGTAATGGAGAAGGACGAGGTGCTGTGGGAGGGCACCGGGGCAGCCGTGTGGGGTGTGGGGAGGCTGCCAGTCCGAAGGTGACCTGTTCGCTGGGCTCCACAGCCTGGGCAGGGCTGGCCAGACCTGATTTGCACGGAATAAAGGTCGAGGGGTACCTGGCACCTGCCTCCCTGTCTGGCCTTGTCTCCTGTGTTCTGCATGAATTTTTGTCCCGGACACAGACACACTAAGCTCTCTTGAGTCCCTTCGGGAAAGCTTTTTCCCCAGTATCACCATTTTCAAATGCAGAGAAATCCGTTTCTCTGAGCTCCCTCCTGTGAACTCCCCTGGGCCGGGATAGGGGAAAGAACGCCTCTTCAGGCACGTCTGTTCTGAGAGATCGTAAACACCTTGAGGTAGGGACCCTCCTCACGGGTCCAGTAAGGTGTCTGGGGGCAAGGGTGAGGGTGCTGATAGCAGAACGAGATGGGGAGCTAGGTGCACAGCCCCTCTCAAACAGCGGGCTCTCCTGGCAGGAAGGCCAGTGCCGAGAGGTTGTGCCCGACGTTGTGTGACTTTGACCCCTCTCACCCCTTGCTCGTTCATACACATTTTCGCATGCAGCTTTCATAACAGCTGCCCAAGGCGGCGATCGTCTGCGCTTTGTAAACCCGTGCCCGTGTTAGGCGCTGGGTGGCGCGTTGGGTGCCGGGTTGGGCTTCGGGTGCTGTAATACTCACCCCACCGCGCTCTGATGCTGCTCCTCCT